GAATCAGGGTCCTAATATAGACCCCTAAACCCTCTTCTGCTTCTCCACAGTTATATTTATTGGTAGTGGGAGAAAAAGTCTGGACCTCAGTTCCTGGTATTTCCAATTTCTCTTGTCAAGCACCTGACAATGAAATGTGGGTTCTCTTTTATTTTGGATTTGTGTTTAATGTGGCTGCTACAAAGGCATTTTAAGAACACAGATGTAATTCAAAATAACCCCAACAGTAGGTTTGCTGACATGCTGTTTACCCTCTTGCTCTAAATCTGACTTCCACATTTGACATAAAATGGCAGTGCCACTGACAGGTTTACATTCATACTGTCTCTCTTTACTTTGTGGTTCTGTCTCTGAGACTGGGGTGCATGTTACCCCATGGAGATGCACAACGAAGTAAAAATGTGTAGAATGCCTTTGCTTGCCTGCCTTGATACTGACTGAGGAGCATGGCCTGTAACAATAAAGAATATGGCTTCAGTCCTCAAATCCATAGGCAGTAGATTAATAGGTAGTTGGTTGCACTCATTTGGTCCTCAATTCTGGTTTTATACAGAAAGCAATGGCTTTCAACCCATGCTGTGGGCAATGAAAAGGGTTAGTAGCAGTTTGGGTTAATGGGCATACCTGAAAGGAAAGGGGACTGTGCAGGAGGTTCCCTAGATGGGGGCCACTCAGGGTCCAAGTGCTGACTGCTTACAAAGGCACTGCTGGTATGGAGTGGTCCCTGCAATCTGACCTCTGGCTTCCACATCTGCATGTGAAAGTCATTACAAAAATGCAATTTACTCTGATGGCAGGGTTCTATCCATAACATACTGACCTTTGAGAGAAGTGACAATGACCATAGGCACAAGAGGATCCCCCCAAGAGATGGAGAGACTGTGTGGAAGGTGAGCAAAGTGGTGAGGGAAGCCAAGCTTCTGGGCATGGGGGAAGTCTGTGAAGTGTGCAGGGGCCTTACCTAATCAAACTCACTGCAAGAGGTATGAGGCACTTTATTAAACTGAGGTGTAGCTATTTCCATTTAGAGTTGACTTGGCTTGTGGGAGTTTTAGGGACTAAGCTGAACAGTTCCCATTTCCAAGTTACCTTAACTGAAAAGTATAATTTGGTAACTAGATTTTCTGAATCCAAAATGGATTTGACATTGGGTTGCCCTCCAAGATAGAAGGGCCTATTGCTGTGGCCTAGAGAAGACCATGTACCTACCTGGAAGGGAAGGAAAATGGAAGACATCTCTAGATTGGATTTTTGCTTCCTCATCTATACTAAATTCCATTCTCTTGAGGGGCTCTGCCATCAATACTGAGGTTGGACACACCAGAAGCCAGCGTGCACAATGAAGATACAAGCTTTCTTCATGTTCACTCAAGATTAGCCCGCAGGCAGATCGAATTAGGCGCTTAGTCACTTTTCTCTCAAATCCAGGTTGCAGAACCTTGGACTCTGGAAGGTAATGGAATTGAAAGTTCCAGAAAGTGCCTGGTGCTGTGGCCATAACTCCTTGTCTGATGAGTGGGCTGGCTGCCACTCTAAGCTAGGGGGAACAAACTTACTTTATCTTCGGTGTCATCAGTTCAATTTACTGAGACTGATGGGAGAGTTGGGGAACAGCCTGAGCTGGGCTCTCCCAGCCACAAAAGCAGGAGGCACCTCCTTGCTGAATAAGGGAAGTCTTGTGAGTTCCATCTCACCCAGCTTGAAAGTTACTACTGCTCCCTTCTCCCCAGCCATATTTTACCTGGGGGCGTCGGTTAAATGGGTAAAGGTCAGGCTTATCTAAATCGGGACCATTAAGTGACTGTGGATTTAAAATGAGTGAGGCAGAGATGGGAAAGGAGTTTCCGGGAATAATATCCCAAACTATACACAAACATCCTTGAGTAAGTGCTATCGCAGCATTGTAAGGATGTGACAAGGGTCCCTAACCTCATTCTGTGCTGTTGGTTTATTGTCTGCACCTCCAAAACAAGAGGTCAGGATGAGGAGAATAAAATCTCAAAGCCATTACATTTTGTTCTTTTTCAAAGACTCCGAAGAGGCAGAAACCAAATATTAATAGAATGTTTTAAAATAAACTATACACTTGTTATGTATGTTTGTGTATGTAGTACAGGCATTCTTTGCTGGCTGGTACAGGTAATGGCATCAGTGCTATGACTGTCTGTTCCTGGAATGATTCAGATTGTGGGTCTTGACTATACAAACCGGCTGCATCTTAGCCTAGGCCCTGCCTGGCGACTAAATCCCTCAGGGCAGTGATGGATTTTTTGTTTTAAATCTGATCAAGGAAAAAAAATTATAGGAAAAGTACGATCAAAGGCACAAGGAACTAAATACAAAGTTTTTCTTTTCAGAGAATTTTAGTTCTATTTACCTCATTTATACATTAAGAACTGCAAATATTATTAACTGATAGGAAGTACTAAATACATACTAAAGAGGAGGCTGGAGAAGATAGGATTATCAAAAATCACATTTTAATGAGAAGGACCACAGCAGTACTCTTAGTGCAATCAGCCTAAGAGCAAGTGACTTTCCTCCAAGTGTGGCAGTGGCACCAGGGCAAGAGCCCCTGGCTTGGCCCCCAGGTAAGTACTTGGAACTCCTATACTGCCTACCTCTCAGCAAGTCTGAAACAGAGAGTGGTAAGAAAAGTTTAAACATACAGAAGAGCCTGAAGAAAGGGAGAAAGATGGCAGGAACAGAGAAGAGGCAGCTATAGAAGAAAACTTGGAGGAGGAAGAAAGGAAGGGAGCATTGGGACATCTGAATATTCTTCTTTTCTGAATATTAATTCATTTATTCAAATATGAATCATTTGTAGGAATATTAATCAAAACAGACACCAATGTTCCAATTCACTCGGTTTGAATTACAGTAGGGTCCTGTTGCCCTTTCAATTGCTCAACTGCTCTAATTCATTTTATTAATTTTTCAAGAATACAATGTATTACTATAAACCATAACTGCTATGTTGGTACAATGGGTCTTGAACTTATTCCTCCAAATAACGGAAAGTTTGTAGTGCTAATTTTTAAATCTTGAAAGTTAGCTCTTGTGACTTACAGAAATACAACTTTCTGGCAAAGGCAATCAATGCTGTGGGCTGGATGACATCAAGCCAAGAGTCAACTGCTAAGTCAGGGAAATTGAGGACACGTGGTTGCTATTTGGTTCTAAGACCATGCTGCTTAAAACTGTTGTGGGAAGGAATCTTGTCAGCTGCCCAGTAGGCCACAAGTATTGGTGGGTTAATTAATGAGGATTAGCCAATGATTCTTTAAACCTTTCCCCACTGGCAAGTTTTCTGTTGCAAGCTACTGACTTTTCAAAGACAGGGCTTTATGGCAGTTCAACCCAGCTGTCTTGTTGAGTATGATGATGTCTCACCAGCTTTCAAGAGTCTTTATTCTTCTTGGCTTCCTGAGCTGAACTACTGTGGTTCAAGGTGTGTTTTATTTTATGGAGAAACTGGAACCTACCACCCATGAACCTCCCATAATTGCAACACGCTTACCAAGCTGTCAATAGGGTGTGATGCCTGCAGTGATGCCCACAAAGGTGTAGAAAAGGGCATCATCTCTTCCTCTGACTTTCCCTAAAGTGCTCTTTCCCCCTTGCACTCACCATGTATATCTAAATGCTAAATTAAGAGTCACAGTGCTGCAAGACATGACCTGACAAACCACCTCAATCCTATGAATTTAACCAGTTTTAAATTCCTGATTCTTTAGTGCTGTATTTCTTTGGCAGCGACAAAACTGGCAGCCTGAGATATGCCAAGCTCTTGGCTCTAAATGCAAAACAAAACAGTATAGGAGGGAATTTGCGAGTTAGAGGATTTGCAAACACTGTAACAAGTCACCGTGTAAACATCTGTTTTTGTGTATCTTTTATTTCTCTCAGGCAGCTACCTGGATGCCATCCTGACAGTGCCAAGCCAATGACTCCTTCATTCACACATAAATGAACTCCACGTATTTTGCACCATTAAGAAGAAAACTTAATAACAAAACTCTGAAATACCAACAAAACCATTTCATTAAACAGTAATTTCAGAGTAGTTCAGTAATTATGGAAAGAGGATCTGTTGTATCACTCGGTATCACCATCGAGCCACAGGTGTGCTGCCACGTGTTCATGAAGATGTCATTTGATGGAGCCAGCCCAGGGCCCTGAACTCAAGAAGCCAGTTGTATTTATACAGGTTGGTTGTAACGGTCTCATAACAAGTTTTTCCTGGCTTTCTCTAAGTCCTACGACACTTCTTGGGTCTGACCAAATAAGGTATGCTTTTTGTCTCTGCACCATAAGCCTGAAAATCAGGATCTACTATTGGTCCCTTATGCAATAAAGGTATAGTAGGAGCGGTGATTTGGGTAGTCCCACAGCTGTGAAGCAGCTGAGCTGGGTGTGAACACAGAGGCACTGTATTTCAGAGCCTATATTCTTAATCATTTTTCTAAAATTGCTCTCTGTAATACAATAAGAAGTGAAATAAAAATTCTGTATGACAGAAGATATTTAGATGACATCACAGGGCACTTGGCATTTTCTCCTGTTTCTTGGCAGGACTCCTTCCCACTTTGCTTCCACCTCACTCAGTCCACGGCTGTATCTCAGTCCTTATTAAAGAGGAAGAGTTATAATTAGGATGTTTCAATGAAATTGGAAAGAGGTGAAACTCAAGCGTTGATTTTTAAAACATTTTCATAGTATCTCTGGGTTAGAAGGTCCTACCCAGGTTATCTAATCTGCTTCTTGCCCCAGGCAGGATGATTTAAGTCATCCCAAATTTGTGAGCACCTTACTATCTACCCCAGGCACATTCTGAGTGTCACTTGCCTGTCTCAGGCTCCTCTACATGACTTGAGCACTTTTTAGAGGAAAGATGGCACAAATGCAAATTAGTAACACTATAAATCAGTTCAGTTCCCTTATGCATTTACCCCAGCCAAAGGAATGTTCGAGACCCCAAGCTACAATGCCAGTCAGTCTTTGTCAGAAAATATATTTATTATTGATGGTGAGTAAAGTTGTCAGTATTCATGTTAGAGGCTACATAAGCCAAGGTTGTTTTTATATTTATAAAAATGCCTTATTTCATCTGTAATCATAAACATCATTCCAGTAAAAGAGGAACATTCTCTCTCCTTTTTCTCTTACTTGCATGACCAGCATAATAAGTTAAAATGAAATAGCTCTTAGATAGTCAAAGAAGAAAAGGAAGCAAGGGGAAATGAGCAAGCCACAGTATAGGCAGTTCCACACAGCACCTTCTCCTGGGCTCTGTGTGTTTCTGCTCCTTCCTTTCTCCACTCCAGTTGGCTCAGCCTCCCCACCTGTGCCCAGCTTTCTTAGAGCTGAAGTCACCAAGAGATGGAGCCTGGTGTGCAGAGACATAGCTCGTGGTCAGTAAAGGTTGAATACAAAATACAAAACGGTGGAGAGCACTGCCCTTCTCTTTTATTTTTTCATAAATTGGATTTACTGGTACAGAACAGTGTCCTTTGATAACTGATTCCTGATCTAGACCTTGGCTTCTCAAACTGTTGTTGATCAACACATGATAGGATTCCGCTGAGTTCATTTTCTGGTGCTTCTCTTTAGTGGTCTTCTCTTTAAGTGCATTATTTTCTTACTTGGAAAAAAAATGTTCCACTTCTGGAATCAAAGGTGGAGGAATTTTGCATGTTCTAAAGTTGATTTTATCCCCCCTTTTCCAGTGTGCTCTGTAAGAGAAATAGAAAGCATCAGTTGTACGACCAGGAAGAGAGGCACAAATATTTTTCAAATATTTTGTTTTTCAAAAACATAAAGGCATATGCTTGCTGGATTCAAAATATTACTACTGTACCATGAGTACTATGTGCTGTATCAGGTGTCATCTCCAAAGGAGCCCTTCCTCTAGCCTCCACAGTGCCCTAAGGAATTGTGGCTTGGATGGTGGGGTGGGAGGAATGAAGGAGTGGGGACCACGGGTGTCATCTCACTGTAGGGGCATGTGGCAGTGTGGTCACAGTGACCGAAGGAAACTTTTCCCAAGAAAGTGGAGGAAGAGAGAGGTTACAGCCAAGGGCTCTGAGGGGGAATCTGTCAGAAGAAGAACGTGAGTGCCCCTCCCAGGGACCTCAGCAACTCAGAGGACGCTCACGGTGCTGGGCAGCGATGCAGCAGGAACCTGTCTGTGAACTGCAGGGACCGTTTCAATTTAGTTACTATGGATGGAGGGTGGCAGATAGGAAGAATTCTTAACTACCAGATTACATCTGCACAGCTACTAGGCCATGGGGTATACTTCACTCTTAAGAGAGCTTTAAGAAAAAAACAAGTGATCTTTATATTTTCAGTTCTGAAGTTTCCCGGGAGAGGGTCTGCGAAGCCCAGGCTGCCTCCAGTTCCCAGGTTCAGGCTTTCCTCTGGCCTTTACCTTCCAGCCACCGGGGCACTCAGCTCTACTCTATGGTCTCTCTGCACTCAGTTAATGGGAAGCTAACACATGTACCACAGGAAGCTAAAGAATAATGCACAGTAATGACTTACTAATTTTTATTTATTCACTAAATATATAAGAAACTTACTGTCTTAAGTAACAAATGCACACAGTAAGAAAATTCAAAAGGATCAAAAGCATATCTGAGAAAAAAGAAGTTTTTCTTTCTCCCCTTTTCCAGTTTCTTGTGGATACATCCAGAAAAAGGTAACAGTTCAAAAGAGGGGCAGTTCTGCCTAACAGAGGACACATCTCTGTAGCTGGAGCAACCAGGGAAGGCAACTCAGATGAACTTTCACCCCAGACAGAATGTAGGCAGAGCCTGGGGAGAGGGCAGGGAAGGGTAAAGACGGGAAGCAGAGGCAAAGATTCCCACAGGGCAAGGAGGGAGATAAAACTCACTGAAAGAAAGGGAATACACTCAGGACTTAGAGAGAAAGTGTAAAAGAGGCCCAGAATGGACCCCAGGCGGAGATGTTTCTTGCTGGCCACTGGAAAAATTGTGGGAATGTTCTTTTACATAGGGGAATGACATCTAGAAAGGTTAAAGGAATGATATCCTTGGTACAATGGCTCCAACAGAGGAGTCCTCAGGCAGGAAGACCAGGGAGGGGCCGATTAGAAACTACAGGGCATACACTGAGCCACAAAAAGACATGGGGTGAAAAAGAAAGTGAGACCCTCGGTACAGGGAGACCTTTGGTGACGGAGAAAGTATGTGGGTGGGGACCAAGAGAATAAGGTGGACGCGAGAGAAGCCAGGAAAGAGGAAAAGAGGAGAGCAACTAAAATTCTGGGTTTGTGATTTAGATGATTTGGGGTGAGAGATTCCACATGAAAATGCCTGACAAACTGTGGACTTTGGAAGAGAGATCAAAAGTATCTATAGATTTAAGGTCAAAAATAAAGAAAAAAAGATGGAAGAGGGGACAGAAAGCAGAGTGGAAAGACAGGGGAGTATGTTGGGGAAAGTATAGAAGTGAAAAAGACAAGTTATCCTGATTATTCTAAAGTGTTCATAATTAAAGCTGTCTAGATAGTCTATGTCTACAGTCATCAAAGAACAGCTTTAAAAGCAGACAAACTAGCTAGAGAGAGCACACAGAGAAACAGAAAGAAAAGCTAGTTTACTCAAATAGGCAATGAAGTTAGTTGTGTTCAAGCCGGGCATGGTGGCGCACGCCTGTAATCCCAGCAGGCAGGGCTGAGGCGGGAGAACTGCTGCAAGCTCGAGGTCTGCCTGTGCTACAAAATGAATTCAAGGTCCGCCTGAACTACAGAGTGAGGCCCTGACTCAAAAAACAAAAAAATGGTACTTGTGTCCAGAAGAAACAGGGACGACAAAGTAGAAGTCTGTCCAGCAGGGCTGCTCTGTAACACACCAGCATGTGAGGCGTCTCAAGGCTTTCATCACAAGAGCTCCATGTTGGGAGGGAAAATGAAACACTGAGCAGCTATCATGCAAGACTCAGACACCTCCTGGCACTGTCACAATGTCATAGCATCTCATTTGTGTCATTCCCTTGTGACTTAATCTAGGCGGAAATTTCCACTATTACATGGATGGGCACTCTGCAAGTTTCTGAAGTACAGACAACCTCACCCTGACATTCTTTATAAAATTAAAAATGGAAGCCAAAACCAAACAGGTCTAACTGAGCCCATCTAGGGATAATTAGTCACTGAGGACAGAGGCCTATTTATGAGAGATGCTGTTTGCCCAGTGTGCATTTAGGGGTTATAGATTCACTACACTTTTGAACACACCAAGGGAAGTTTAAGCTGGTGCCAGCCTGCCTGTTCAATATTTCACAGCTGTACCTCTTTGTATATTTTAAGGTCCTAAAGTTGTAAGGATATGTGTTACAATCTGCCTCTTTTCAAATGTTGTAAAAGCAGCTACTACTACATAATTAAAGCAATATTTCAAGTGTTTCTGAAGAGTTTAAGGATTATTTATCTTTTATCTTTAAACAGAAATAGGTACTTTATCAGACAAATCACGTAATACTAAAATATAAGGCTCTCTGGGCAACAGTACAAGTTGGCCCCAGTCAGACTACAAGGATGTAGGTAGACAAACATAAAACACATGATCCTTCTAACCACATTCACCACACATCCTGCTACATATATCACAATCCAAATTCTCAAACATAGTGCAAAGGTTCACTGGATTTGTATGCAACTCTTTGGAAACAGGAGAAACCAGAAGAGAGTCCCACAGCTGGTCTATAAATCTGCTGTTGAATTGCACGGAGTTGCAATGGGTGGCAGAAATGGTACAAAACTGCCTTGTTGCTGCCAGAGACATTATATCAAGTTGGATTTTTAAAAAGATGAATAAATTGATAAAACAGTCTGTGTTATTACTACATCATAGCTATGCAGTCAAGCCTGCTCAGACACAGTGGGTCTTGGGTTCCACGTTTGTTATAGGCTTTCCCATAGTCTCTGGATTGGTTCTGCAAGGAGATGCTGTTGGGCTGAATTTCAACACTGCATAAATTTAACACTGCATAAATTAACATAGGAAATTCCCTGAAGATGAGGGAGAAGCTTTGCAAGTTATGAAAGCTGCTTCCTTCATTTAAAGAACTGCTAACATTTAATCTTAATGTGAAGAAAGAGATTCCTTGCTTTGCTCATCATTCACATATTTAGGCCTGCAGAAACTTTGTAAACAACTAGGTAAATTATAAAAAGGTGAGAACACTTCAGGGATTAACTTTGCTCTTTTCCCAAATCTCTTTCTGTTACTGTACGTGGAATAACTGGCAGTTCACACTGCCAAACATGGACAGTGCCCATTTCACCTCTTTGAGGTGATGTGTCATTTTGCTTATTAAAATGATTTTAACTGCTTTCCTCAAATATTTTTGTTACACAGTAATCTTGCCAACTGATTCCTGAATTGCAGTTTTCTTGCAGGGACTGTCTTCACAAGGTGTCAGTTATCTCAGTATGTTTAAGTGAAGTTATGGCAACCTGCGGTGGATACAGTTTTAACGAAAAGTTGTTTTTGTTTTTAAAAATATTATGTAGTGCTTCTCTTTGGAGGAGCTTACTCAGCATGGACCCAAGATTTTGATCCTAATCAAGCTAGTAAAGACGCAGGAACAGGTCTACGCATAAACACATCGGGGAACTCAACATGGGAGTGTGTCCTGAGCTGGATACAGACTGGCACCTGAGTTTTCACTAACAGACAGAAAAAGTGGGGGCAGGAAGAGAACAGAGCTGTGGAGAGGAAAAAGACAGAATGAGGCAATTGTAAGAGGTAAAAGTAATCTATAAATTCAATTTACGAGAAGCACAAAGCCAGCTTGCCTGTGCACTGAGCACCACTTCTTGCTACCTGAAAATCTGATTAGCTAACTTATTTTGTCTTTAGTGTCTGTCTGTTTGTTCTCCTAAGCCAGGTCTGTTTTTTGTTCTTGCTTTGGAGGAAACACAAGTTAACTTTTCTCTGCTTAGGTTTTATTTTTATATCTTTTATGACAAATACTCTCTGTAAAACTCAAATTAAGTTACAAGTAATTAACTGTTTATACAACTTGACGCAATAACAGACAGAACACCAATATTGCAGTTCTAATTCTTGAAGGATGAGCACTAGAAAAGAAATACCTATTAAGAAAAATGAAAACTTATTACCATGGTAATATTTCTTCTATTAGACTCAGATTACAAAAAGATCAAATGTCATAAAGCATACTATTCGTCTCAGAAAGTGGTTTAGAAAAGGATTTTTATGATGGAAGAGGCTGGGGTAACATTTAAAGCTTGGCATTTAGTTTGCTTTGATATGTCTCCAAATTCAAAGGGCTGCCCCCTAGAAGGGTAGGAAATCTATTATGAAATGCTCATATGTCATCCTGTATAGTGCAGCCCAGCTGGTAGATTAATAAATATCCTTAGGTGATGATGATAAAGGCTTCAAACACAATGAAAACATGCACTAGCGGGTGTTCTTAGAGTTAACCTGGATTTATCTTTGTGCTCTTTGAAGGTGGTGGGCATATACATCAGGACTCACCCCTCAATGCAGAGCAGGGTACCTGGAGACCATAGAACTGAGGGAGGGCCTGTCACAACTGTGAGCTAGCCAGGAAGCCCGAGAATAGCAGGAATGGCTCCTGCCCAGTACTCGCCTTAGTAGGAGTAAGAAGAGGGGGAAGAGAAGACTTTTATTTAGGGGCTCCTGCTCACTTCTCATGTCATCTTCCGATGTGTTCTTGAACATGAGGATACAATCTGAGGGTTGGTGTGATCGGAACTCTTGGATGGGTAGACAGTGATGACTTCCTTATCTCCCAAAAGAGGAAGAACACAGAGCCAGCTGGACTCCTGAAAGGCTGAAGATGTCACTACAGTCCAGCCAATGGGTTCCATAGCTAGGTTTCTCAGAATCTCCAGGGGAGTGTGGTGACAGTTTAGGTGCCCAAATCCCACCTCCAACCTTCTGAATCAGAATCTCCAACCTCATGTGATTCTGAGGTGCATCCATATTCAGGATCTGATTTTACAGAGAAAGACCATGGGTCTGGAATGCAGAGTGGTCTCTTCCAAATTTAGGAATCACACTCTCTGGGTGTTAAGTCTACAAAGGAAATTGTGAGGCTAGTTACATGATCCATAACATAAGGTGCTTTTAGCTCCCACCGCATGGTTCACTAAATCATTTACAGAACTCTTGCAGAGTTCAGATGAGACAATTGGAAAATAGAATTCTGATTCTAAGCTGCTACTATGTTTTTCAGGTACTCTTCACACTTACAATAATAAAAGAAAATATCTGAGCCCTGGTTAAACACAAATCCAATTTACAGGGGAGATAAAATACACTGTTACTAAGAAGGAGACTGAAATTTGCCAGGGAAATCCCTTCGTATACACCAATACTGTGGTCTTCTATTCTGGAAAACCATGTATTGGAGATGTTATTTATATTTTAGAAATGAGAAAAGGGGTAAGTGCACCAGTCTTAGGGTGGATTAATGTTACATTGAGATCTAGCCACATTTACCAAGGCCTTTCCTCATGCTCCTGAATGCAGCCAGGTTACTGTTTTCTAATATTCCTAAAGGTCAACAAGAAACACAAGTTCAAAAGCGGGGGTTAGGGTTAGATGTCCTTAGTTTTGTCTTTGCTTGAGGTACTTAACCACTGCCTACTTACTGATTTAAATCTCTGCTTTGGTTCACAAACTCCTCACTCTTGTATCATCAGACTTCAGGCCTGACATGGTCTTTGGGCCTTTCTAGGATAGCCCTTGCCTCTGATTCTAGTGTTTCCTTTGCTCTTCTGATCCTGGCTCCTTGCTCCATGTTCCAAATCCCTTACCTCCCATGGTTAATACTCACAGGGTTAGAGGCGGTATAGCATGAGCCAGGGCTGGCCAACATGTTCTGCATTTTTTCAGTGTGGTGTATTAGCCAGCAGTCTACCTTCTGCCAGGCAGCACTGTGATAAATACTCTACACTTTACTGAAATGAAGAACCTGAGAGACTGTTTTTGTCACCTCCCTGTCTTTTCCTTGGCCTTGAATTCTCTAAGGCCAGCAGGAGTGTGAACTTAAGGGAAGGGTATGTCACTGTGGGGGGCCAGGCAGCAGACAAACCAACTGCAAGTATAATTTATCTTTCTAAGTTTTAGGGTAAGCAAAATCTAGGAGGGAAAGTCGCAAATATCTGGAAGTCTCAAAAGTAAGGACGCTGGCTGTTATTAAAGGAGTCACATCACCTGAGTGTGCCCATGAACACATGTGCTTATGTTTTCCTCTCATCCGAAAGCAGAGTCAGTCCTAGAATAACAGCAGTTTCTAGAAGGCACTCATGAATCTCCTATTTCAAACCCTCAGTTCATCAAAAAAGAAACCTAAACTCTAGTCACCATGATTAGATTAGGGTGCCAGCAACAGCTTTCCCCAATAACCCTGTTTTCTAGTGAGCAGAGGCAATACAGATCTGGAAGCTAACTGTCTATACCTCTTACTTGAGCACATTTTGGTTCACTGATTGACAAATATTACAGGCTTTCCTTGCTCTTTTCTTTTCATGGTCCCAAGTGAAGCAAGTGTACTGAGATGGAACAGGAATCTTAAGGAGAAATAACTCAATATTGGAAAACTAAGAATTATGAGGTTAATGAAATATGACAAAAAAAGAGACACAGAAGTCTGTGTGAATTGCTTCATTTTTAAATGTTGACTCATATAGCTACCCGGTAGCTTTTAAGTCTTCGAAATGATAATTAAAGCAATTTAATATCCCTTTACCCTAATGAAGAACACATAACTTAATATACTAGAAATAACAGTCAAAATGTCTCATGTCAACCCACAAGAAATTGTTTAAGAATAGCTAAAGATTGATGTGATGTGATTGAGATGAATATGAAGAAAGGAAACGTAAAGCTAAGGCACATGCGGAAATTCTCCTACCAGTAAAATCTATTAGTCTCCACAGTAGTGCCTGAGGGAGCCCGTGAAAGCAGGGTCTTATGAGTCATTTAAAAGTGGAGTGGATTTGGCTCCTGGCATTATTCCACAAGGGAAACCTTGTATATGTCGGAAATGGACAATGGGACCTAATGGGCTGTTGTCATGTTGACATGTCTGGCCTTTTCTTTGGATCTAACCAAAAGTGTAAGGAAGGTGGTCCATCAGGAAGTGCCACAGTAGCACAGATCACATACTGCCAACTTCTCTCCCAACAAAGGGGTGGACTGGGATCATAAGATTACACAAACTTCACCAGGAGCAACGGTCAACCTGATATGATAGGAAGAGTGGCTACAGTGGCATCTCAGTCCACGAACTTAATTCTTTCCATGACTCTGATCAAAAATCAAATTGGACGAGAACTGAATCAGATTTCCCTATGAGGTCAACACTGAACCTACCACTGAATTTTATTCCATTTTTGTTTAAAAACCAAACACTACTCTATTCTAAAAAAAATGTTTCTTGTGTCATTTTTATGGCAAGGTACATTTGATCTAGTTGTTAAATTTGCCATCAGGAATTTCCCTGGGTTTCAGTGCTCTCAACTATAAAATGGTGAAAATAAAACCATCTGTATTTACATCTTGAGTTGTCATAAAAAGCCAAGAGAATAGATGTGAAATGACCTTGAAATGTTACATACTGAAGAAAGGTAAGTGATGCTGTTTTTGGTGCTTGCCCATTTCCTATTACAATGAATGTTTTGTGTATCTTTATCTTTTTACCATTACCTTATAGTTCCCTAGTAACTGAACATAAAAGCTGTGACCACAAAAGTACTTCAAACATATTAACTGTAAATAATACCAAATCATTGGCAGATCAGGAATGAGGAAGAGGAAAGGTCTCTGTTGGAATTATCAATAATTTAATGCTTTTGTATGATCTGCCTAGTTTCAGTATAAAATAACACAAATGAGGAAAGAAGAGAAAAAGATTAGATTCAGTACTTTCTAGAAGTATAATCCTCACAATATTACAACAATTCACAGGCAAGAAAAATCACATCTCAAGGTCACAGACCTAGTACAAGACAAGGTTTGGACACAACTCAGACCTGCAAGGTTCTAATTCTATTGTACCATGTGGCATACTTCCATTTATCACATGCTAATTTTGCTTCATTCTATAAACATACATCACTCATCTCATGGGACAATCAGATGATTTAACATGACCTAAGCAAGCAGGTTGGAGTCAATGCTCCAAACGCCTTTGCAGTTATCCTTTCAGCTGTATATGCGATACCAGTGTCAAAACAAGCACTCTGTCACAGCTATTCGTTCTACCAACCATCCACTAGTCAATAAGGCACTAAACCCAGGAGTCAATATGAAAGGCCCAAGTGCTTCAGGTAGCATTAAGAGTAAGGTTTGGGGCTTGTTAAGAGTATAAAAAAAGAAAAAAAGGCATATCAGAAGCTATTTTTGACAAGTAAAATGTACTAACATTAGCAACATAGCATCTACCAAAACCTTTAAAGAAAAGAATCCTTGGCACATGCTAAGAGTTACACAAGTGCTGCTATAAGCAAGAAACAGACAAAAGCTGCAAGCCATGAAGCTTTTAAAGACAAAATGGGCTTTTAATCTTAAGGCTATTTTTTCACTAGTGTTACTGTTGTTTTTCAGCTATCCAGACAATACCAACTCTCCTGTCAGATATTTATTGAGTGTTAAAAATTTACAGTAAGTGGTATTATTATAACTATAACAAACTGGACTACAGAAAGTCATGCTGTGTAACTCAAACACTAGATTTATTTAGGTTAGAAGGTTGACTTTAGGGAATTTGTCAGCAGAAAGAACCACGGTTTCTAACAATTTCTGTTTCTCAGAACCACCTACATCCAACTGTAACAGCGGCTAAATGACAGGCAATTAGGTGACCTGTTACAATTGTTAATTTGCTTTAAGGTCATCATTAGCTTTCCAAAGTACATAAATTACAGAAAACACATGTCCTGTAAACATCATATTATTCTGAAATGAATGGCCAGAAGAAATACATGAAAGCAAGGGTAATTCTTTCAAAAATTCTACCTTTGGTCTCCCTTTTCCTACTTAACTGAGTAGCTTCAAATCAAACTTGTAAAGTGTAAGACTATCTACTGCTTATGGACTCAAAGTTGCTAGATACTTATTTATGCCCTTCCTTTTTGCTGGTTTTGAATACTGTATATGAGATACCAGTGTCACACTGAAGTAGGAGTGTGAGGTAATGACCAGGAGGTAAGGTCCAGGAGCGTGAGGTAATGACCTTGGGGATGATAAGTATTAGCAAGCAAAAAGGCTCAGAGCTGATGATTAAATCTTTTTCTCTACAAGTAATCTTTTTCTCTACAAGTAAATTAGTTTAACAAAAAAAGAATCCAGACTCTCTTAGAATGATACAGATAGAAGGTAAAGGTAAGAACTAACCAACTCATTACAGTAATTCTTAATGAGGAGGACTCTGAGTTTATAAAGATTTTCTATACATATAAATCCTTACCCCTGCTCCAAAGTACTGGGCTTTCTACTCCCCTGGTGCTCCAGGCAGCTCGGCTCACACACCTACCTGTTTGGCATGATTGACACAGTGCATGTACTGGTTAGCCAGAGCGGAGCAGCTGAGGGTCTGGTGGGTGTTCTCACGGTAACACTGGAGGATTTTGGCCTGCAGATCTGCACAGACTGGATGATACTCATATCTCCTGAAAACAGAAACAGAGACTACTGAGGCAAATGGGCTTCATTCAGAATACAATGCCAAGACAGAATACATAAAATGTTAAAGAAGATAAAAGTGTTGCAAATTTAGGGAAACACTTAATAATTTTCTTCACATTTTAAAGAAACATCTCCAATTTTTTCCCATGATAAAAATGTAGAGTAAATAAATTCTAGTAAACTAGTTCCACTGGCTGATTCCACTGTAAGTTATTCTGGATACTATAAACTCCTCTCCTAAACTCAAACCCAAACTCTATGAATGGGGGCAGTCCTGTGCTTCCTGGAGCCCTGAGGCAGAAATCAGAGAGCCCTAACTCCTTTCTCCCATTCCCACATCCAGCTGGTCACAATGCTGGAGATCTCTATAATCTGCCGCTCCTCCTCCATACCTACTAATTCCAAATTGCCTTTGTCCTAGATTCAAGTTATGACTTCCTAACTAGTCTCTGTCCCTTAATTTTTGCTCTTTACACATGTCTGCCAGTGGGTTCCTTTACTAAGTAAATCGAAACCAGTACCTCCACTACTACTTCTTGAGAATACAAGGCAACATGCACAGTTGTTCCTGTTGGGGTTCCGGCTTCCTCCTGAGCCTCTATCCCTGCCCAAACACTGCTGGAGCAGCCTGCACATGTCAAATTCAGGGTCACCTCACATATTTCTCCTTACCTCTTTATTCATGTTACTCTTGACTTTGGGAAAACTCTGCCCCCAAACTCTACCCACACCTAAATATCAGGAAAATACTTCCTCATCTTTCAATGCTTAGCTCAAGTGTAACCTACTGTAGTTTTCATTAGCTTCCCTCTCCTGGTAGAGTCTATCATTCCTTTTAAAGTAATCCTCTGGTCCTGTATTAATGTCCCTCACCATGCATATGACACTGATTACAGTATGGTCTAGTGCAATTTACTAGCTTACATTTACTAGAATGCAAATTCTTGGATTCTTACTTTTTTTTTGACATTGGCTATTAGATACAGTACTCATGTTACAGAAGTCTTACAATAAATTTGCTGAATGAATACTAATAGGTTAAAGGAAAACAGTAAAATTCTCTAGGTTAAAGTTCTGTAATTATATTTTCAAAAAATCTCAAATTTTAGATTATTTACAGTTAACATGCTATACTAAATGTAAATGTTTCCAAGAGCTCATAATACTCACTCATAATAAAATAACTAAATATATATTATGTGTATATGAAAATAAAAGATTCCTGTTCATATGGTAGGAGAACTTGGATTATAAGAACTAAACACACACAAAAGAAAATACATAAAATTATTCCTTTAAATCTAGGAATTCACATTTTTTCAAATTACTTTTAGTACAAAATGCTTCCAGTCTTTAACAGTTCTATCTTTGAATTTTAAATTTGTTATTTCCATGTAATCTTGAAATAGCATTAGTCTAAATTTAATGGGTTCTAAAAAACCCCTAGAGAACACAGGGGGAATATTTTCCATCAATATGGAAACCCCTGGGTGACAATTTGTCTCCTCATTACTTTTATCCAACACACTAAGCTAATATATATTTTCCTGGAATAGAAATGCAAACCATGTTACAGGTCCTTGAGGGAATTTACTTCCTACTATGCTCTAAAGAAAGCAGGCATGGGGGGGGGGTCCCCCCACAAATTTTACATAATGTTACTTTTGCTTTTTCATTCATTACCTTCACTGCTTTGTCAAATACCCAAGAACAGAATTTAAATGCAATCCCAGGAGTTTCGATTCTTTTTAAGATTTTTAAGTTTAGATGTCTGTGAATGTTTCTGGATATAGACTTCCGTAATCCCCTACCATGAATATCAGCATTTAGAAGGAGTCAGCTGTGCTTACAAGAGCGCAGGCACAAGTACTGCTGACTAACTCACTACAGCAAGACCCAAGATTGGATAAATGTCCAATATATGACTAAGCATCAGGTCAACTGAATGTGGCAAAGATATGACTAATGACTTTAACAGTTCACTGAAAGCAGAGTGAGATTCTATACTAGTGCTGACAACCCTTGTTGTCTGTAATGTATCATAGATTTATTTATTTCATTTTTTTCTTTTTGAGACAGTATCTCAAAAAGGCAGTTCAGGCTGGCCTTGAACTCACTTTATAGACCAGCCTGGTCTTGAACTCGCAATAATCCTCCTGTCTCAGCTTCCCAAGTGCTGGGGTTACAGATGTACACCACTATGCCTGGCTGTATCTTAGATTTAAATGTGGGGAAAACAGGATGAGAAAGAATGACTAGAACGACCCTCACCGAATACACGGTCTTTCTCCATTAATACACAAGAAGTAGAAGCAATAAAGTGAAGATCTGCACATTAAAGATATATATATATAATATGTAATGTTTTTTCTACTATAAAGACTATTTTGCAATGAAATAATTCTTATTAATAGCCTGGACTCCTTAGAAATAGGTAATGGAAGTTATAGAGAAAAAAGTAATGTTATACAGAAAGAGATAATATAAACTGTATATAAGGATTTACCTTGAGTTGCATTATTAGTCATGCATGTTAAAGTACTTGAATTATCTATGAGTTGGAATGTGTCAAAATATACTTTTTTCACCACAGATCAGTATTACTACTTGCTTCCAGAGGCCTTGATTTCCTATCTGGTAGTCTGTTCTTAGTGTGTGTGGGGGCCGGGTGGGTGCAGCTATCATCTGAAATCCTTTTTGTACACTTTTCAACCTGTATTGATGATTAGATGGAAAGGGAGGGGAAGATTAGTGGAAATCCACATAATTGTTCCCCAGTTCCTAGAGGAGACGATGGTACATTTTTCTTGGATTAATCTGCAAGGGTAAAACCCTGCCTTTGTATTGATCTACCATGCTTGTTATGCTGTCCTAATGCACTCTTTTCACTTTGGGAAAATGCTAAATGAGATTACCGTCTAACATTAGAAGGCCATAAAGCCTAAGCTGTGGCACCTTCCAATGAGGAGAAGGATTTCAAAGACATTTCCAATATACATTATTGCAAACCCTCTGTATAATCATAGAGTCAGTGATGGGCTTTTATTGACTGCTTTCATTACTACTCATGGGAAAAAACCACAATGAGACAAAAATAACATAAGGCAGAATTTCAAGATTTAATTTTCCATAAGAAGGAAAATTAAATCTGAGTTGCAAATGACATTTAATTTCATTATATGTTAAGAAAATTCCACAAAGAAATGGTGAATGACAACAAAAAGAGCAAGATTAACTAGAGATCTGGAGAATTTGGAACAATAACAAGGAAGATAAAAAAATTATTAAAAACAAGTTTAGCCAAAAGCAATTGGTAGAACAGACAATCTTTGAAAATACACATCTATAAAATATAAAGAAAAAATCCAGTTGCAGTCATTTGAAATTACTGAGGAACCCAACCCATGCACATTTCTTTTTTATTTCCTTGTGTTCTTAGATCTTGTCCTTATTTCTATAAGCACTAGCAGCTTCCTTCAAATTGACCCTTTCTGCTGTGGCTCTTACAGCCAAGGATGTTGGTGAGACAGTGTGTGAGGGCAGAAACAGAATACCAAAGACTTGATCCAAGAACAAAAATCAAAAGTAGCATTTCTGATAGGTATTCAGTAGATGGCAAAAGTTTTTATTTTGTACTAGTGTTTACTGCTGAGATTCACTTAAAAGGCATCTAAGAAAATATACTGAAATATATTACACTGATAGGTCTGCTGTAGAAATCTTAAGGAAAAAAGAAAAATATAAAAATATATACTTAGGTGAGAACAAAGAAAAATATAAAAGTATACACTTAGGTTGTTTTTAATTTTCCAGTGCTTCAGACAACCTGGTGAGGGACAAAAATTATTACTGCCATTTTAGGCAATACTGCATTATTGCACTTTCTTACAAGCTGAATTAATCGATCAAAGTGAAAAGAAAATATTTTTGGTAATAAGGCAAATTATGCAATATTCAGAAATCTCCTCTTAAAACTCTCCTCTAAATACAGTTATATATGGTAATCTGTTTTACAGCTTTTTGTTGGTTTCACTGATGCCTCTTTTACTTTCATGTCTTAGAATCTTCTTTGAGTCTGAGCTTTAAATTCAGAGAAAACTTTCCCACCATTTTAGTTCTGCCAATACACATGGCAAGTATAATAAGGTAACTTCAGAGCAGAAAAAAATACGGATATAGCTATTCTCATACACTCTCCACTCAGAAGACAGAAGAAGCCATGTAATGACAATCACTTAGCTGCCACAACTCCAGAAGCTCTCAGGAATACAAAAGTCATTCATTATGTGTACAGGCACACACGAAAAAGGACCCTTTCCCTAAATATAGACCCTGAGAGAGTACCCAGATACTACAGTGAAATACTAGCAAGAGGGCACGAAAGAGAAAAGGATGAAGGGAAGGAGAGGAAAAGAGAATTAAAGTGAATGATTAGTGCCAAAGTGAAAATCCTGGTTTTTTGTTTGGTTTGGTTTTCTTTGTACCAGAAATCAAACTCAGGACTTCACACTGCCAGGCAGGTGCTGTGCCCCTGAGTTACATCCCTGGCCCCTAATTTTTTTTTTTCACAAGATCCATTAATTCATACTTCTTGAGGTCAAGGTAGCTCTCTTAAAGCCCTGTCTAACACATTAGAAGTCCAACACAGCTGTGGGGTCGTTAATTTCTATGGCTCTTAATTTTAAAAAACTATGGCTTTATTTATTTATTTTAAAAGGCTCTTATTTTATTTTGTACTAAACTGTTCATTAGATGTTAAGCCCAGTGGCGAGGATTTCTGCTTTTCCTTTAAAATGCAAAACTAAACCTAATAGAAACAAGGCCATTGTTTAAAACGATGTAATAGTTCACTTGTATCTCTTATAATATATAATGAAGCTATTAGAAATTGCAATACATAGGAAGAAAGTATCTGAAATGTATTTGTCTTCTACTAAACTTTTTAATTTTACCTCATATTACAGTATATGAATATTAGCCTTCA